TTTTTTTTTTCTTTTATGTACATGGAAGTTTGGCTTGCAACGTGTGTGAGTGGACCGCGTGCGTACTTCACTCAGGGAAGACGGAGGAGGCATCAGATTCCTAGAACTAGAGTTGGATACAGTTGTGAGGCACCGTGCGGGCGCTGGAAGCCGCATGTGGGTCCTCGGCGGCATCCGTGAGCGCCCTTAACTGCCAAGCCATCTCTATAGGCCCTAAAGTTTTTTATTATATGTATGTGTAATGCCACGTTTCACTATTTTTTGTAGAAAGGCCCTACTGACAGTTTTCCTTTCTCCCTTCCGGAGCATGCCACACACATGATGCAAACAGAGTGAGCATGCGCTCTGGACACACAGCAGTGACGTGACGTGCGCCCGGTAAAGTAATTAGCACACTCAAGCTAAAAGAAGCGCATCACCCCTCAGACATACTGTGTTAATATGAATCTGGACAATGGGATTTTTGTCAACCCTGACAAACCTAAAATATATATTCTCGAATATAAGCTGGACTCAAAAATACTTCAGCGTCATGAGGCCATCCACAGCATGCCCGCGAGGTCTTGAGATGAGAGGTGTAGGTTCCCACACAACACATAAATGTGTAGATATTGGGGTTGTTTGTTTGTTTGTTTGTTTGTATTTGTTCATTGGTTTGTTTGGTTGGGGTTTTTGTGTGTGTGTGTGTGTGTGTTTTTAAGAAGGACTTTGAGATGCTTCAAAGTAGCATCCCTGAAGGATAAAGAATTTCTATTGCACAGTTTCCAAGTGGGCTCCCTAGTAAGGGGAACAGGGGCTGTCTCTGACATGAACTCAGTGGCTGGCTCTTTGATCACCTCCCCCCTGAGGCACGGGGCAGCCTTACCAGGCCACAGAGGAAGATGATGCAGCCAGCCCTGATGAGACTTGATAGGCTAGGGTTGGACAGAAGCAGAGGAGGTCCTTCCTTATCAGTGGACTAAGGAAGGGGAATACGGGGAAAAAATGGAGTATGGGTGGAACTGGGAGGAGATGAAGGAGGGGACTACAGCTGGGATACAAAGTGAATAAATTGAAATAAATAGATAGATAGATAGATAGATAGATAGATAGATAGATAGATAGATAGATAGATAAATAAGATTTCTAATTATTTACAAAATGACCTTTTCTATTAACAGGAATAGAACGTACTAAACACATTTTTTTTGCACGTATGATAGTGTTACTTTATAAAGGCACTCATCATAATATGAAATGTCTCTTTCTGTGTAATACTCACCTGTTCAGAGAGCAGGCCGCTGTTATCTTCAAGGTATTTGCTGAAAGGGTTGGGTTCATAAACTTCTTCCTCCTTCCTCAGTAACAGTTTGGATCTCACAGGTACTGGGCGAATCACTCCAGGTTTAGTCTTCATGAAGGAGAAATGTTTTTAAAATGGAGAAAAACACTATTGAAATGAGTAAGTCTGTCACTGTTTTTACCCAAATGCTCTAACAATAATTTTCTTTTGAGATTTGAGGTTCTTTTTTTGTACAGAGCACTTTATTTAAATTTGTATTAAAATAATGGATAAAACAGTCCAGAAATCAGATTATTTTAACAATGTGACTAAATGTAAAACTTGATTGTTAAAAAATTATAGTCGATTAGTTCATTGATTATGGTAGCATCCAAGTTATACAAATCTACTATCATAACCTAAAATTGCAAAACCACACCAAATATGTTTCCCTATCCTTCCCTTGACAAATGTTCTTTGAGTGCCTGTTCTGTAATATACAATATAGGTTCTAGTAGAATAGAAGACCTTAGAAAGTTTGCCTGTATTAAGTATAAGCCACACACGTTATGTATGGCAGAACTAGGTCTAGATGGAGTACAAGCTATCCCTCCCGTGAATGTGATAGCGAGATCTGAGTTCCCCTCAATTACTTTATGTCAATGCAGGATCTATAAGATGCCCTAACTAAACTTAAAGGGTAGATCCAGTGAAATGAAAAGAGCTTCATGAAGCTGCAGCCAAAAGAGGAAAGCGCTAGGATCGAATGCCAAAACATTCCCTGGGCCCAGCTAGGCATCCTGTCCTGTTGTTCCCTAAGACTGTCTTCTCCTTGTACAGTAAGTTCCATCTGGTGTAGTTTGTATCAGGATACACTTAGCTAACACATCAGTCAGCAGGAACTCATAAAATTGCAGCCGATGGCAATAGGAGAGGGGTTTTCTTTCTTGGAAAAGTTTCTAAATGTTTCACAAAGTGTAAAATCTTGTCACCCTGTCAAATGCCACAAAATGATTGATACGTTTTGAAACAATGCCGAGTGAAAATTCAATAAAGAGAAATTGTGCCACTCTTTGTTTGAGCTTTTTGCTGCAATCATTCTTGTCAAACCCATTCCTCTTGGAAAACTGTAAATTAGCACTGCCTAGTCAATCCGGGTGCTCACAGGTTAGGCCTGAAGGGATTCCATCTATCTCTCTGCTCTATAAAGCATTTGATGTATTCTGAGTCTTGAATAAATGTCGCGCTGCGATGCTTTTTGCAGCTGCTATTTCCTCAGTTGTCTTCCATGGATATGCCAAGTGGAGAAATACAGATTGCAAAAGCGCTTTCCTTCTCCAGGCTGAGAAATAGCTCCAACTTAAGAAACTGCTTTATCTCCAGGGAGAAAAATGTGCCAGTGCCAGTAGTATCCAGTTATTTAACAAGTATGAGGGCAAGTGTTCTCAAGTGCACAGCATAAGAGCACCACCCCAATTATATGCTGGGCAGTGCAGCCACGACTTTATGATGTAGAGATATCCTTCTTTTCCATGAGATGCCCTGCCCTGCTAATTTCTCCTTTCTCTCTCTCTCTCTCTCTTTCTTCTCTCTCTCCTAGTTCTACACTTTTGTCATGAAATCAATACGGAAAATCAAAATGACCTTCCAGGTGCCCAAACCAACGTAGAACTTTAGGAGTTGTAAGCCAAGTGCCAGCATGAAGAGAGGAGAACACGGCCTAACAGAATCTGATACGGTAGAGAATCTCTGCGCCAGAGGAACGGCCTCCTTTCCTGCATTGCAAGCAGATGTCTTAAGTTATATTGGCCTAGAGCCCATCTGACTTGTGACCAACGCCTTCAAGGATGCGATCAGAAAAGAAAGTGTTTGGGGCCAGTGAAATGGCTCAGAGAGTAAAGGAGGTTGCTGCTAAGCCGGATGACCTGAGTTCAATCCCCAAGACCCAGACAACTGACAGTTGTCCTCTGTTCTCTCTCTCTCTCTCTCTCTCTCTCTCTCTCTCTCTCTCTCTCTCTCT